GTTTGGATGTATAATTTATGTACCCATTTCTCCACCTCACTTCAAAAAAAATGGGTCCTCAAGAAGAATGATAATTTATGTTGGATATGAATCTCCATCTATAGTAAAATATTTAAAATCATCAATTGGAGATTTATTTACAACTATATTTGATGATTATTATTTTGATGAATAATATTTTCCAACATTAGGGGGAGAAATAAAGAATCTGGAAAATAAAATCTCTTGAAAGAAATTGTCACTTTCAGTTTTAAATCCTCGTTCAAGTCAATGTGAACTTGAAATAAAAAAGATAATTCATTTACAAAATGTAGCAAATCAATTGCCAGAAGCATTTACTGACCCTAAGTGGGTAACAAAGTCTCATGTACCAGCTATACTTACTCAAGTTAGAACTGATATCACAGAAGGAAGAAAAAAATACAACTGCAAATGAATCTTAGGCACGCCTGAAGCGTGGAAGATCAGCCGGTTCCAAAGATAAAAATCCTCGAAAATGAAATAAAGCAAATACAATTGATGGTCCAAAAGAGAAAACAGAATCTCTTGAAAAAATTAATGAAGCTCTAGAAGAGCCTAATGACATAACAAAAGAAAATAAGGTACCTGAAAAATGAAAATGATGAGATCTCAATAAATTATGTCATGACAGAAATAAGATGGAACCGAAATAAGATAGACGTCGACGATAATTTTTCATATCATGTTCCGCGCGCGATTATAAAGAAAATGAGGATCTTGAACCTAAATCTATTGAGTAATGTATGAATAGAAAATATTGGCCAAAATGGAAAGATGAATTAAATAAAGAGCTTAATTCTATTACTCAACGAAAAGTTTTTGGACCTGTAGTCCGTACACCAAACAGAGTAAGAACAGTGGGACACGAATGGGTATTTGTGCGCAAAAGAAACGAGAAAAATGAAGTTGTGAGATATAAAGAAATACTTGTTGCACAAGGTTTTACCTAAAGACCCGAAATCGATTATGAAGAAATGTATTCTCTGGTAGTTGATGCAATTACATTCAGTTATTTTATAAGTTTAACAACATATGCAAAACTGGAGATGTGTCTAATGGATGTATTTATCGCTTATTTATATGGTTCACTTGAAAATGATATTTATATGAAAATCACAGAAGGGTTTAAGGTGCCAGAAGCACAAAATTCTAATTCTCGTGAAGTATATTTGGTAAAATTAAATAAATCTTTGTATAGATTGAAACAATCTGGCCGTATGTGCTTCAATTGTTTTATTACATTTCTGTTGAAAGAGTTCTATAAAAATGATCCATCAAGCTCATGTGTATTCATAAAAAGATTCATATAAGAATTTATCATAATTGATGTTATTGTAGATGATTTGAACATAATTGGAACTCCTAGAGAATTGGAAAAAGGTCACTTCTTGTTTGAAAGAAACTTTTGAAATGAATGATCTTGGTAAGATGAAATTCTATTTGGGTCTTCAAATTAAGCACAAAAAAATGGAGTTTTTGTACATTAATATCTAGAAAAGGTGCTAAAAAGGTTTTATATGAATAACTCACATCCATGAGTAACCCGAAGGTGGTAAGGCACTTAGATGCCAAAAAAGGACCAATTTCAGCATCATAAAAAGAATGAAAATCTTCTTGTTCCCGAAGAACTATATCTTAGTGCTATTGGTGCACTAATATATCTTACTATTAATACAAGACCTGATAAATCTTTTGTCGTAAACTTATTAGCAAGATTTAGTACTTGTCCAACAAGAAGATATTTGAATAGAGTCAAACACATTCTTTGATATCTTCGAGGTACAATGGATATGAATTTATAATAATCAAATTCATAAAATGTGAAGTTAATTAGTTATCTAGATGCTGGATATTTATCTGATCCACACAAAGCTCGATCCCAAACTGGTTATTTATTCACTTGTGGAGGTAACACAATTTCTTGTCATTTTGTTAAACAAACTTTAGTTGCTACTTATTCTAACCATGCAGAGATTATAGCAATTTATAAGGCAAGTCATGAATGTATTTGGTTAAGAACTTTAACTCAATACATGTGCAAGAATTGTGGTCTAACTTCTAACAGGGATGTTTCAACCATACTATATGAAGATAATACAACTTGTATAGCTCCATTTAATGAAGGATTTATCAAAGGAGACAGAACCAAACATATATCACCAAAGTTTATTTTACTCATGATCTTCAAAAAGAGTGTGACATCAACATCTACAAAAATTCATTCCAGTAACAACTTTCCTGATTAGTTTACTAAAGCACTTCCTACATCGAAATTTGAAAAGATGGTACGAAACATTGTTATGCGGTGCTTCAAGAAAATCAAGTGATGTGCTAATCAGGGGGAGTTGGAAACATATTGTACTCTTTTCCTTAGTTATGTTTTTCCCACTGGGTTTTCTTAACAAGGTTTTTAACGAGGCAATTGTTTCCAATATCTATTATTAATCATGTACTCTTTTTCCTTAATAAAGGGTTTTTCCCATGAGGTTTTACCGATTAAGGTTTTAACGAGGCATGATACAATCGTCATTCAAGGGGGAGTGTTATGAATTATTATTTAGTGAATGACTATTGGATTCTTCATCTCTCCCATTACTCTCCATAATTAGTGAACATTATAACAAACATTATTATGACTTTTATGAGTGTAGTTATGCACCTCTATAATGTGCATTCATATCATACATGACCTTTCATCTTCTTTGTTTAGTATAAATAGTGAATATTATGTATTGTAAAGTTTGATGATTTTATCACAAGTATTGGAATAAAAGTTCTTTCTACTCTTATATCTTTCTTTACTCTATAATTTATCTTGTTATTTGATCATATTTTATAACAAAATGATATTTTTAGTAATTTTTGTTTTTTAATATCTATTTAGTAATTTTGGTTTTTTAATATCTATTTGTCACAATAATAAAGATGACATTTATTGTATAAACTATGAACTAGTATCAATGACATATTTGTAAATGACCTTCATTTTTATCAAATTGAATTATTTAATTTTAAGGTTGAGTCGTGATCCTGTTTTCTTTTGAATCTTTGAAATTTAGATAAAAAAAAAAAACTTAACCAGGTTTAAATGATACCAAAATAACAAAATTGATGGTGAATAATTTTTTTACCATTACCATGCTTGAAAATTTGTAATAAAATAATTACCCATTTTAATAAAAGTGATTTGCAATCTTAATAATTAATGGATTGGTTAGATGTGTTGAGATCAATAAACAATCTAAGCTAGCTTTTGAGAAGACAATTGGGTCTAGTGGTGTTCGTGGATGGTTAACCGAATCAAACATTCCAAAACGATCTGTTCAATAATTTCTTAAAACTAAACCGAAAAACTCGGTTAATCAGTTTTCGGTTAACCTATTTTTTCGGTTTTGGTTATTAACCATTTATGAATTAGTAAATGCTTTTTGAAATTAAAAAAACTTAACGGTTAATATTCAAAACAAGGATAATAATTTGCTACTATCTTTAAGAAAAAAATAAAATAATGAATATAAGTTGTAAGTTATTTGCAAAATTTTCCTTGTGTTTTTATTTATTTATTTAATTTTTACACTGCTTAGAAAAAACATGCAAATCACTAATTAAGAAGGTACATTTTTCCCATCATATCCTTTAGTGACAACTTTGTATTGTTTAGTAGATTGATGCAACTCAGCAAGAGGAGTTGATGGTTGAAGGGGAAAAATAAGCATTTGAAGTGTTTTTTTCTCGGGGGATTGAACAATGTTTTGGTTGATTCGATCACTTAACTTAATTTTTTGCTTTTTAAGGGATTAAAGTTCATAATAATCTATCTATTTTGCCATCCTAACCAATTCTAGTCGGTTTCACACGCCACGTCAACTAAAATTGCCAAATTATCACTAACATGGATTCACTTAGTAAAATCAACGTCACTTAGAACAGTTGAATATGGAGATGAATTTTGGTGTGTATGGAACTTACTTTGAATAGGCATCAAGACGGAGCTGGGTGATGACTTTTTTTTTTTTTTTTTTCTTCTGGATTTGATTATTGAAATGAGTTGAAGATCGAAAACTTCATTTTTGGTTATGAGTTGATTCAAGCGTGCTACTTACATTTTATTCACAAGGAAATTTGGGAAAGATAATAACACATGTTATATATTTAGCCCTAAAATTTCAGCATTTTGGCAATTTTAGCTGACATAGCATGTGAAACCGGTTAATAGGTTCGGATGGCTAAATAGACAGGTTGTTATAGACTTTAATCCCTTAGAAAGCAAGAAATTAAGTTAAGGGACTGAATCAACTAAAACCCAAAACATTGTAGGGTTACAATGAAATTTACCCTTAATATTTAGAATCATTGAATGTCATTTAAAAAATAAACTTCTTTGATTTGTAGTTGGCATACACATCTAATATTTTGAAAATGACAATTTTGATGATCTTGTGAATTGCGATTTATGATACATGGATGATCTTGTGAATTGTGAATATTCTAAAAGATTTTAAAGGTAGAAAAAGCAAAAAATAGGATCAATTCCCTTAATTTTTAATTTTGTATTATTATACATATATATTAAATTTTTCGTTTCTTATCTACAGTAATGTGTTGTGCTTTAGGATACTTTTAGTCCTTCTACTTTCGAAGTTTGTCTATTCTTTATTTTTCTTTTCTTTTGTAAGATTCTTCGTTTTATCCCTGTACTTACTTTTGTTTGTTATTCCCTTATTTTATCCATTTTCCTTTTGTTAACGTCTACCGGTGACTTCTCTCTACGTGGCCTTTTCTCATTTCCTTTATGATCCACGTGTTATGCTTCCTAATTTCTTTCTTCTTTCTTCTCCACCGTTCTTCCTTTTTTGTTCTTACTTCTTTCTTCCAAAAGGTAAATTCCGTCTCTTCTGTTGTCTTTCTTCTTTCGTCTCTGTTGTCTTTCAGTTGTTTTCTGAGTTTTTTTTGTCACTTTTTTTTTCGATCGATTTATTATGGCCCGTCGACCGAAACGGCTATCTTCACCTGGTGCTTCATCCTCTGTTCCAAGAACTCGCAGGTCGCGCCATTCTCTCTTCTTTGCTGGCCTTCCTGACTATGTTGATTCGGGTGACTGTACGTGTGTTTGCGAATTTTGTGGCGCCTATTTCTGGTATGTTGAAAGGGCGCTCAAACTTTCTACGCCTGCTCATCCGAAGTATTATCATTGTTGTCGGGATGGTGATGTCGTTCTTCCTTATCCTTCGAGGTTTCATCCTGAATTTCTCGATTTGTATCAAAATGCTACATTTTTGAAAGACATTATCGCATATAATAGCATGTTCTCTATGACTTCATTTGGGGTGAATATAGATAAGTCTGTCAATGACAATCGGGGCCCTTATGTTTTCAAGATATCTAGTCAAATTTGTCATAGGATAGGATCATTGTCCCCGGATCCTACAAAGGGCCCTAGATTTCTGTAGCTTTATCTTTTTGATACAGAGAATGAGGTTCGGAATAGATTGAGGGCTTTTGGAGGTCCGACGGGAACGGATTTAGATCCTAATATTGTGCAGTATCTGGTTACATTCTTAGGGGCTAACAACGAGTATGTAAAAACGTTTAAAACAGCAAAGACCATGGCTGAGGAAAATAATTTAGAAAATTATAGTGTACGGCTGTTTAACAACGTTGTTGATCGTAGGTATGAATTCCCTTCCCCTGGATCCTTGGGATGTATAGTAACTGGTGATGACACTACCAGTATGACATATGACATTGTTGTATTTTCGCATTCGGGTCGGCCTCAACGCATTAGTAAATTGCATCCCTCTTATATGCCTTTACAATATCCACTTTTGTTTCCTTACGGTGAGGAGGGGTGGTCACCCCGTTTGAAGATGCGTAATCAGAGGGGAGTAAGTGCAAAAAGTCTCACTGTCAATATGTATTACGCGTACCATATACATGCCCGACATTAGGTTTGGTCTCCAATTGTAAATGCCACTAGGCTTTTCCAGCAATATTTAGTTGATGCATATACGTGTATAGAGGAAGGCCGATTGGATTATATAACCAAACATCAATCAAACTTACGTTCCGATTATGTGAGTGGGCTTTATGATGCGCTATCAAAGGGGGACCGGGAAGCACGTGTTGTTGGTAAGCGTGTCTTTTTGCCCGCATCATTCACTGGTGGTCCCCGGTTTATGTATAACCATTATCAGGATGCGCTTACGATCTGTAGAGTTTATGGCAATCCACAATATTTTATCACTTTCACATGTAATGTGAAGTGGCCAGAGATTACCCGCTATATGGACACACATTCACAGAGAGATGTACACAGCAGAGCGGATATCATAGCCAGAATGTTCCATGTGAAAGTCCATGAGTTTATCGATTTCCTTAAGAAGGACAAAACCTTTGGCGATGTTGATGCATGTACGTTTACATTTCTTTTTCTATATCTGCTAGCCTAATGATCGTTTGTATCAAATGTTACCCACAGTGTATAAAGGTCAATAACAACCAAAAGTTTACAGACTTATGTCCTTTTCCATGTTACTGCTTTATTTGTCTGCCTATCCAATATGTTGGTTGTGGAAGTTAATACCTTCTTTATTTATAAGTCTTTTACTAAATTTATATTACTTCCAGTATGGTCCCTGTGCTATCTGTTTTGTTTTATATGCATCCCTACAACTGCTTTAACCGCATCAGATATGTTATTTTGTTTCCCATTTTACCCCTGCTATGTGATCTGATATTGCAGCTAATTAACTTATGTCCTTTTCCATGTTACTTCTTCATTTCTCCACCTATCCAATCCGTTGCTTCAGGAAATGAATACCTTTGTTATTTCCAAGTCTTTTACTAAATTTATATTAATTCCGGTTTTCGCCCTGTGCTATTCTTTATTTCTAAGTCTTTTACTAAATTTATATTAGTTCCACTTTTGTCCCTATGCTATCTGTTTTGTTTTATATGCATTCCTACAACTGCTTTAACTGCATCAGGTATGTTATTTAGTTTCCCATTATACCCCCGCTATGTGATCTGATATTGCAGCTAATTAACTTATGTCCTTTTCCATGTTACTTCTTCATTTGTCCGCCTATCCAATGTTTTGCTTCCGGAAATGAATGCCTTCGTTATTTCTAAGTCTTTTACCAAATTTATATTAATTCCACTTTTGCCCCTGTGCTATTCTTTATTTCTAAGTCCTTTACTAAATTTATACTACTTCCAGTTTCGTCCCTATGCTATCTGTTTTGTTTTATATGCATCCCTACAACTGTTTTAACCGCATCAGATATGTTATTTAGTTTCCCATTTTACCCCTGCTATGTGATCTGATATTGCAGCTAATTAACTTATGTCCTTTTCCATGTTACTTCTTCATTTTTCTGTCTATCGAATGTGTTGCTTCTGGAAGTGAATACCTTCGTTATTTCTAAGTCTTTTACTAAATTTATATTAATTCCGGTTTTGTACCTGTCCTATCTGTATTGTTTTATATGCATGTGTACAACTGTTTTAACCGCATCAGATACGTTATTTATTTTCCATTTTTACCCCTGCTATGTAAACTGATATTGCAGCTACTTATCAAAATACTAATATCCTATTTGCCTTTTTCTGATTTAAGTCAGTAAAATTTATATTAATTCCACTTTTCCCTCTATGCTATCTATTTTGTTTTATATGCATTCTTACAACAAATTTAACCACATCAACTATGTTATTTATTTTTCCATTCTACCCTGCTATATAACCTGGTATTGCAGGTAATTATCCAAATACTAATGTCCTATTTCTCTTTTTATGATTTCACTCTGTGTGAAATTGGTTAATTATACATTTGTATTATTAAGTTTTTTTTATAAATTTCTTACCATTTCTTCTTTTGCTCCTATTTTAAGTGTTATATTGTATGCACATTTAACAGATTTATTTATTGAAATGAAATATGATAACAATTTTAATTATTTGCTGATTTTCCACACTGTTTACTTTCATCATTTGTGCAAGTGTTATTTTCCTTACTTTTGTATAACCTTTGTAATTCTTAACTGTTTTACTGTATATAGACTATAACAAAAAACTTATTTAAATCTAATATCATAGTTATAACCCATTATTTTTTTAAGCTTATGGTTTATCGTTGTTTTCTCCCTTTTTTAACTCTCTCAAAAACATAACATCTTCCATTTAAATGACTTATTTGCCAAATCTTGATTATTTCCTCTTTTGCCATTCTAACAAAGTATACAACTATATAAATTTTACCAGGTTTTTTATCATTATCTTTTGCCACCATTTGCCTTAATCACCGCATACTTCACTCTTACATGGATACACTACCAAAAATTATCTATAACCTTTTTGTTCCATTCAGGTTTATGTTTTTAAATTTACCTGTACCTAAACATCAGTCTTTCAAAAATTAAAATTTTCCCTTTATTTGTAGATCTTTTCTTTTTATCGTTCCGTATTCTAATTTAATATCTATTGCGTTTTTTTTTTTAATTTTATACGTAGCTGTTTTACTACTCTGTCATTGACTTTCACTTTATTTTCATTTTCATATATTTCCCATCACATCTGACAATTTTATATCCTAAGTCCTGTCATCTAATTGCATTAATATGTAAAACGACATTACAGTTCTTCTTACGACTTTCATAGTTATGTAAATAGAATTTTATTATTCATGCCTTTCCGAGCGGTCCTATGTGATCCTTATATTTGAAAAAACTAACATCAGACAAATTCGTCATTATTGCAGATTTATATACTATCGAATTCCAAAAAAGGGGTCTACCGCACTGTCATACTTTGCTGTGGGTAAAGGCAGCTGACCGAATAAAAAACGCATCGGATGTCGACATGTACATAACAGCTGAGATGCCAGATCCAACAACAGATCCGACACTATATCAGACAATCACAAGCTGCATGATTCATGGACCATGTGGACCACTAAATCCAAAAGCTCAGTGTATGAAGGACGGTAAATGTAGTAAAGGTTATCCTAAACCTTTTCTTCATGCTACATTGTTCGATACTGAGGGATACGTTCGGTATAAACGAAACCCAAATTCACACCATATGACCCTATCCGGACAGGTTATAGATAACAGATACGTTGTTCCGTACAACAGAAGGCTTTCCTCACGATTTCAGGCACACATCAACGTCGAGTACTGCGGATGGAATATGATGATTAAATATCTCTTCAAATATATTTCTAAAGGGGCAGACCGCGTCAGATATGCAATCCAAAAGGCAGAATCGCCCCGCGCGTCCGCTTCCGTCACAGTGGATAGCCATCATAACACACATGGAGGTTCAGCGGTTACTCCTGTGAACGAGGTGCAGAATTTTCTAGATGGTCGCTATATCTGTCCCCACGAAGCAGCTTGGCGTATCCTAAACTTTCACATACATCATCGGTACCCGCCAGTTCAGATCCTGTCTGTACATGAGCAGAACATGCAGCAATTATTATTCAAGGAGGACAACACAATACCTCAAGTGCTGGCAAACCCATTCAGCTCTGTCACCACACTTCTAGGTTGGTTTCGCAACAACAGGAGGGATCCAAGTGGACATGAACTTACATATCTAGAATATCCAAAGTCTTACAAATGGGACAAGTCATCTAAATCCTGGGAGCCTAGAGTTGATGACTCCTCAAAGGTGCTTGGCCGACTTGTCTTTGTTCATCCAACATCTGGCGAGTTATTTTACCTACGAATGCTACTCTGTCACCAAAAGGGTTGCACATCTTTTGAAGACCTGCGGACCGTTTCTGGCACCATTTATCCTACGTATAGGGCTGCATGCAATGCATTAAAATTGATTGGTGATGATACGGAATGGTTATCTGCATTCACAGAGGCATCAATATGGGCGACCTCTGCACAACTTCGTTCCCTTTTCTGTCAACTATTGCTTTTTTGCGAAGTTAGCAGTCCACAATTGCTTTGGGAATGCGCATGCGATAAGATGAAAGATGACTACCTATATTCCATAAAAAGAGAAATGCCAGATAGGGGACTTAATTCTGTTGCAGACATAGTACATCAGCAACTGCTCAGCGATCTCGATCACACCTTACGCTCTTCCGTACCACCTAAGTCAATGGCGGCATTTGGTCTTCCAGTCCCTTCAAATGATGTACATGGTATTTTGCAGAATCGTCTTCTACTTGAAGAAATGAGTTACGACAAAGAAGCTCTACAAAGAGAACATGATAATATGCTGCCAATGCTAAATTCTGAACAGTTGTCAGTTTACAATTCTGTCATCTCTTCAATTGAAAACAATGAACAAATACTGGTCTTTGTATATGGACATGGGGGTACTGGAAAAACCTTCCTTTGGAGAACAATTATCTCCCATATTAGATCCAAAGGGAAAATTGTGCTGGCCGTTGCTGCTTCTGGAATCGCGTCCCTTTTATTACCTTCTGGGAAAACGGCGCATTCAAGGTTCAAAATTCCTATTGACCTAACAGATAAGAAATCATGTGACATAAAAAAGAGAACATCCCTTGCCGATCTTTTACAGCGTACATCACTCATCATTTGGGATGAGGCACCAATGAGTGACAGAAGATGCTTTGAGTTTCTTGACCGCTCTCTTAGGGATGTCTTAGATTGTAATGAAAAGTTGTTTGGAGGCATATCAGTTCTACTAGGTGGTGATTTCCGACAAACCCTCCCAGTCCTACCAAGATCAACACGTTCGGAAATCATAGCCTTAACACTTCCATGTTCATACCTGTGGGGGTCTTTCACTGTTCACATCCTACACACGAACATGAGAGTTAATTCTTCTGAAAGACCCACCGGTTGTTCAATGTCCACGTCGGCTTTCACAGGTTGGTTGCTTCGTATTGGAAATGGACAGATGGGGATGCCTGACAATGACGACCCTCGGGACACAAGTTGGTTAGAAATCCCTGACTCTCTTCTAATAAAACCCGGAAATGACTCCCTAAATTCATTAATAAATTTTGTATATGGAGATGGTGTCCTTAATAATCCGACTGTGGTTGACCTTTCGGCAAGAGCTATAGTTACGCCGACAAATGATGTTGCAGACAACATAAATACAACGGTTTTGGGGATGGTGTCATCGGAGGAGAGAACCTATAAGAGTATAGACATTATCCAACCAATCGGCAAGCGTACATCGGATTTTGAGGGCCTGTATCCAACCGAATACCTAAACTAACTCAATTTCCTTGGAATACCACCTCACGAACTTACACTAAAACTCCATTGTCCCATAATGTTTCTAAGAAACATAAACCAAAGAGAAGGTTTATGTAATGGTACACGACTTATAGTGTCGCAGTTGCTAACAAACATAATTGAAGCAACAATCATGACTGGCACCTTCATTGGCAAGCGCGTTTACATCCCCCGTATAAAGTTTATACATAAGTCAACAGATATGCCATTTACTTTCTCACGAAAACAATTTCCACTGAAAGTCTGCTACGTGATGACTATCAACAAAAGCCAAGGACAGTCACTACGTAGAATTGGTGTATATTTAGCACAACCTGTTTTCTCGCACGGTCAACTCTATGTTGCCCTGTCACGAGCAACATCACCAGATTCCATAAAAATATTGATAGAAAATACAAACCCAATTCACCTGAATCAAACAAAAAATGTTGTTTTCAGAGATCTATTGGAGAAAGTTAATTCACCTCAGGTCCACAGTATCACTGCCAATCCCCTTTCCAACATTATCATACCTTTCATAGAGCGCTATCTAAATATATGTTTTTATTTTATTTTATTTTATTTTTTGTTTACTGAGTGACAAGTTTCAAACCTTCTTATACTGTTCATAAAACATTATCTAAAATTTTTTTTTACTTTTATTATATGTATCTTTAATTATATTTATTTTTACATACCTGTACTGTATGCTTGCAGCATATCCTACATTTATATCCGAACATGACACTCATTTTGATATGTTTATTCGACATACAAAATACAGCCGACCAATGAGTAGCATTTCTGAGCTAAAGACGGATGGTATTGGAGACCCATTACAAGTTAGAATAGTACGTAAATGGAGACACGACGTAAGGCGCTATGAAACCTGGTATCTGGCTGTCGACAGATTTGTAAGTCATCTTCAAATACAATTTTTTAACAACTATGTATCAATTTCTACATTAAACATACCATTCAAATACCATATACAAAGCCTTACATTATATCATTTTTCTTTTGTCAAAAGGGTGATGCCATACAGATTCTTGGTCAACGAACTAACCAGAGCTACATCGAATCTATTCTCAACCTTTCGCACTGCTATACCATCTCGGATTATAGCTGCCCCATGTTAGACAAGTATCAGAAATTCCTACAAAATGACTTTTATATTGATGTCGGCCTTATGTCTGTGATAGAACAGATTCCGGACACACTGACAATACCGAAAAACTGGTTTCACTTTCTCTCAAAGCGACAACTCATAGACCTTGGAGACACACCATCTTATTACCCAGGTACGTACATCCTTTCCCACCTCATCAAATGCACACCCCTAACACAATTAAATTTAATTTTCCTTAGACTACATTGGTGTCCTCTCAAAAATCAGAGACTGCGTGAAAGTGGGTGGTGAGTCATGCATATTGCTGATTTTAACTGATGAAAGGTACATATTTCATGTAACAAAATTTATTTTCGACTTCCCTTACACCGACCTAATACAAAACACATTATCAATACCATTAGTGGTAGTGAACTCGCGATCAATTTATGGAAAGAGTGCATAACCAATCCACATAAATTCGATCGCAACTCCTTGCAGCCACCGCCAACAACAACAGTTGTCGCTGTCACCAACTTAAAGCCTTCCATATCTAACGGTCTGATCTCCATACACAACATCATACACACACTATTCACAGCTGTCATGTATTCACCACAAACATTTGTAACACGTAAATTATTTATATATAGGATCTCTGCGTCACGGTTCATCACATGCTACGCATGTCTATGTCAACCCAGACATACCAGAAACAACATCGCTTATAAACCTGTAAGGCACCCATACAAACATTACACATCATGTCCAGTAAATTAACAACTGTATACTAATAACAACATGTTGTCAGATACATAGGTCCCTTAAGACCAATGCCACCACTAGCAGGCACACCGTCTACCCTAGGTGACATGAGAAAGAAAACCAGATCTGAACTGCTGGTAACATTTCTTCATTGGTAACTCCTTTTATAAACAACAATAACTCCATAGATTTATTTCGAATAACTTTACAACGACAGGATAAGACATTTCTGGTGCGCGCATCAATCAAAGACATTCTCTTCCAAAATAGTTGGTACCAGACAACATGCACAATATGCAAAGATCCCATTTTCAGAAGGGGCGAAAATTGGTTTTGTAGCGCACATGGACATATCGACAAACCAAACTACATGTAATCATCTTTAACAAAAATTTAACACATATACTGATTATACCACTGCAATGCTGACAAATATCTGTTGTACACAGATACAAATTGTCTGTTATCATCACTGATGCAACAGACTCCATACAAGCAGCCATGTCGGAAACATCGTGTCGCAAACTACTCGGATCAAATCTTGACAAATTCATATCCGAGAACCCAATGACGAATCCAAACGTCCTGCCCATAAACATAACTAACGAGAGAGGAAATACAAAAACAATGTCCATCCAAATGATAAGAGCTTCAACGTCAGAAAACATACGGTTCATAATAATTGACCATGAACCACAAACAAGAATGTCCGACACATCAATTCCAACAACACCAGCTCCAAGCAAAACGACAAGGGTACGACAAAACAATACATCACCGGGATCATCTACAGACAATCAAAATGTTGCACGTCCTCTAACTTATGACCTTGCAGGTATATAAATGCTGCCATACATTTAATTAACATATCAAACAAAATTTTCCAAATGCGGTCTATTAATACTGGTTCAACATCTGGCAGGTGCTACCCCAAAAGACAGTGATAACCAGATAAAGAAATAAAAGATATGGCGCTCAGATAGATAACAAACTTTATATTATCTAACCTAATATCACCATCTTTTGTAACCTAACAATACCAACATCACCCCTACGTATGAAAACTTTGTCTAAGTTGTTATCTACCTTTTTTTTACATCTCCTGTTCGTCTACATTTTACAAATCACATTACTAAAAAGAAAACATTTAACAAAATGACATCGATCAATAGGTTCTTCCAAAAAAAATTGCCATTCTAATACTCTAAATTTCACCTTTTAACATCTACTTCTTCCCCGCTTAAAAGGTTATACAGCATACACGGTTTGTTTTCCATTAAGAGTAACGATATGCACACCATCTGACCCCGCGTAGCGGGGGCATGCATCTAGTTGTAATTATGGGGAATAAAACAAATTCAACTTCAAACTTTCTAAAAGTAAAAATTTATTCCTCTATTAGAAATCAACCCTAATGGCCCCTAAAAAACTACTTTTGTTGTGCATCTTTATTTTGGCCGATTGTTATAAAAAACGATCATTTTGATCATTTTCACATTTTTCTTAAACTTGACTATTTCACCATTTTGACATTTTTACCATTTCAACATTCTTACATTTGGACCGTTTTCACATTTTTACATTTGGACCTTTTTGACATTTTAAAAATAAGCCTACAAAATAACCATTTTGATTATTTTACAATACATTTTGAATTATAGTGACATTTTGGCCACCATCATGTTGACCTCTTGAATCTTGATTGAATATGCTCCATAAGAAACACCTCGATGCAATCTTAAGTAGTCTATTGAAGCTTCATAGTTTTAAATGAGTAGCATATTTGATCATTTACAACTTTTCATAGATAAAATTTAGACTAAACTACAAATTTGGTCCTTGTGGTTATCAAAAAAATGTGGATGAAATCCAAAAAGTTTCCAACTTGCATCATTGGTCCAAAATCATAAATTTTCCATGGATTTGGTCCCTCATTAATTTGAAATGACTTTTTACCCCTTTAATTTCTTTTTTACATTTTTATATTTATTTTAACTATTTTTAAATCAAAATTAATAATAATAATAAATAACCAACCCAACCCACCCACCCATCTACCATACCCCCTCCCATACCCCTCCTCCCTCTCTCTCTCTCTCACACACACACACACACAATCACAAAAGATCAAAAAATTGATCGATCAAACCCAACGTCTTCTTCGTCTGGCACATATTCTTCCTCTGGCATCCCTATTTTCTTAGTTCCCCACCAAGATCACAACAGCTAAACCACCACCAATCAAACCAAGATCATAAGAGTTAAACCACCACCAATCCACACCAAGATCACACATACAAACACATCATTGATCAAACCCAGAAGGCCATAACTTTCTCTGGCATATCCCCTCCTACCAACAACAACCTTTCACACACACATCTTCATAATCTTTCAAACCTAGATTTCTCCTCTGTATATTAGAATTCACACAAGCACTACATATTAGAATACCTACAACCCACCAAAATATCCCAATCCCCTTCTTTTGTGTTGTTTCTTGTTATTGTCATTCTCTCTGTACAGATAATTACTAATCACACACATAACTTACGAAACCTACATACAAAACTATTTGTCTTTTATTTCTAACTGAAAACCTCAACAACCACCAGATTTTTCACATCTTTCTCCTAATCTAGTAAAAAAAAACCCAAAATTCTCATCAAATTAAAGTTTAGATGAAAAAAATCCAACAAGCCCTGTATCTGGGAATCAAATTTCGTTCCTTTCTACTTGTAATTGATCTATAAATGGTGTAAAAATAATGTGTTATTTCTTCACTGGAAGAAACATCGCTAGTGGAGAACAGATCTGGAAGAATAAAACCATCCGATCAGAAACTCCAACCATGCCGTCGCCTCTATTGGCCGCGTCCACTTTTTCTTGGATTTATTTTGCCTTGTGCTTCTCCGGCTTCACTTTTCCTAACACTAGGTTTCGATTGAATGAAAATGAGAGAAAAATGGTAGATGAGGAAAAGGGTAAGTTGGTGAACAAAAGAAATAGTCAAAGAGGAAAAGAAAGAAAGTCAAAGGAATATAAAAAGAAAAAGAATAGGGTGGGTATGGGTGGATGGTTGGGGTAGCTTAATTTTCCTCTATTAGTTTTAAATTAAACATATGTTAACATACATATAAAAAATGGAAAAAAGAAAATTAAAAGGGTAAAAAAGACTTTTCACTTTTATCAGGAACTAAAACCACAAAAAAGATTCAATTTTAGACTATTGGTGCAAGTCAGAAACTTTTTGGACTACATCCATAATTTCCATAATTTTTGATAAACCACGGGAACCAATTTTGCAGTTTAGTCTAAAATTTAACTATCATAGCATTATGGTAAAATGGTCAAAGCAATTTTGCAGTTTAGTCTAAGAAATCCAAACGGGGACCAATTTTAAAAAATTATTATATTCAGTTTTAATGTGTATTCTTTATTCGTTATCTCTAAAGCAATTTTTTCGATAGAATGCCATTTTTCTCAAATAAAGACAATTTTGTGTTTAAACTTTAAATTATTTACTAAAATAATATAATCAGTTATATACTTATTATTGCACAACAATATTTTCAATATATTTTTCCAAATAGAATCAAAATAGGTTTTCAAGATCAAAATTCTACGTAGGATCGTTTTTTGGTTTGTGTGACAACTCAAAATTTATCCCGTCATTTTAACCTCTTCTTCCGTTAATAAAACTCGGTTTATTAAATTGTCAGTTAACCTTTTGGATTAGGTTAATTAAATTGGGACTTTTTAAGAGTCGGAACAAATTAGAAACACCCTCAATATTGAAAAGTTTTAGTCACAATCAAGTTAAATTATGACCATTAGATCGGGTGCGACCAAAAGCCCCGTTTAACGTCAGTATCGGGTAGATTTCCACCAAACCACAAGCTCAAACCCTATATAAGGGGGAGTGGACTCCATTTGAAGCCTTTCCACCATCTCTTTACTCTCTCTCTCTCTCTCTACAAAGCCGATTTTGATCCAAAAACGCCTCTTTCAAGTCCCAAACTAGTAACTGATCTACCCTAACTTGTTGTTTAGCTCATTTAACATGCAAATTCGTATTTAAGACATCCAAAAGTGGAAAAATCATGTGTTTACAGCCCAAGAACACTCTTGGACCGCAAACACCTATAAGTGGGGTTTTGAAGCCCCAAAACCCTTCTAAAACACTCCTAGGGCTTAGATATGACTTGTGGACTTGCACATATGAGCTTAGAACACCAAAACCTTATCATATGGAGAGTAAACATGATTTTACGGCCCAAGAACACTCTTGGACCGTAAACCCCTCTTCCTGAGCCGTGAACACCTTTTAAGGTGTTAAATTTGCCCTTAAACACCTCCTAAGGCTTGGGTAAATGTTTAGAATCAACCACAAATGAAGTAGGGGCTTTAAACATCAAAGGAACCAAGGACCTAGGAGTTTACGGCCGTAAACTCCTCAAGGATTGGTCCATGGGCCGTAAACTCCCATATTGAAGCCAAATGATGCCCTAACTTCCCCATTTGACTTGGAATAATGCATAGAACCTTATATTCTTGCATTTAAGGCCTTAATTCATGAAGGGAATGACCAAGTGAGCATTTACGGTCGTAAACTCTAGGTTTACAGCCGTGAATTCCCTTAAATGGTGCATTTGGAGCCTTAATTCCTTCCTATGCCCTATATTTGAACCTAGCCAAATTCTACAAGTGATATAAGATCTTTTTGATGGGTTTTGAGCATTCTAACACTTCCTAAGTGTACATGCAACCCTAAAAACCTTGGATCTATGTTTGTCTAATTATCATGCAAAGTTGAATTCCAAGGTTATATTCCTATCTAGCATACATGGGGAACAATTTTAACTTAAAGTATAGATAGAATAACTTACCTTGTTGTTGTTTGTGTTCCTTGAAACCTTGTGAGCCTAGCACCCCAAGTGTGATGCCTCAAATGCTTCACACAACACCAAATGCTCTTGGAAGAACTTATGAGAGAACACACACTTCTCAAAATCGGCCAAGCCCTCTTGTTTCTTAGTGTGTAGCCGATTTTAGGTGGAGAACATGTTTCTTATATAGTGTTGACACATCTAGGGTTAAACCCTAATGTGTCATGACTCTTCATTTCCATGACCCATGGGTTTGTAACTCCCATGGAGCATCCATGGAGCATCCTATGGGTGGAACCCAACTTGATAGTCCATGGAGCCTCTTAGCCCACTATACAAGATATGGATGATTTACATAATCAACCCATATATTTAATTAGTTATCTTTTGATCACATAATTAATTCTAAATTAATTCTTGATCAAACTAATCAAATAATATTATTAATATATTAGAACTTATAATATATTAATAATCTCCAAGTGTTATTTCTCTCATTTAGTCTATCCAATTGCATGGTGCCATGCAACCCAAATGGACCATGCCGGGTCGGGTCAAGTACATACCAGAAATAGTTATGGACTTAGACACCTTATCCAACAGTCTCCCACTTGGATAAGTCTAATAACTATTACTGCAAGTATGACTTCAGGAACCGATCGGCAATCGTAGCTCTTTACAAGGTTTCTCGGAACTGAGAAGATGATGGTACGCCATTTAAGATAAGTGATCATATAATCCTCTGTTCTAGATATCAGTCGGACAAATACGGAACAATGTCTTACTTATTGTCCAACATTTGTTTCCCGATTTCCGATTTGTTTGACAAAGAACTTCATTGAACACATCAATTTAGTTCTGACCGGGCCCGGTACATAGGTCAAAACAAAATCATCGAGGGGCCCAGATATCAGCTTCTAATCCAAGAAGGAACAGATAAACTTCGACTCATATGTTTGTTCTACTACTCATTGAATTACACACAAGAGCGCGATTTATAACATCGAGTTACCAATGCTTTTTCGTACAATCAATGCATAACCAACTTGTAAGTAACAAATCATATCTCTAGGT